GAAGTGAATGAAGCCAGTCTGTATTGATAAGGCTTCCAAATTAAATTAAATTTGTCTGACAAAGCAGCAGCTCTCATTTACAGTCGTCTCGTTCGGCTCTGTATATTTCTTCTCTCAGTAGGGTTGTTTACAGCACACACAATTTCCGGTTAGCTTCTTAGCCTCCGTCACAGGGACAACACAAACATGCTTCAGCAGAGGCCACGCCTCCTGCAAGAAACACTTCTCAATGAATCAAGTCCAGACCCTTGTACGAAGCAAAGTGAAGGACAGGGTCTGGTTGTAACCAGGCTACTGAGTCATGTCTTTAGTCAGGTTTTTTTAATTTTATTTTTTACACACCACAGAAGTAATATCCCCACATATATACATAAAGGATTTGATGTTTTAGAAATAACCTTACGAACAATATATGAAAATTAATTTTAACAGACTGAACCTAAAATGATTTAAAAAAATCAGCCAAAGCACAAATTAATCTTTGGAAAAATACTGAAAAAGCTAGAAAAGTACTGTTTGAAAACCWAGTAAAAGGGTGAGTTCAGATATTTTGTGATTGTGTTTTGTGGAGTTCTAATTTGTAGTCACTATCTTACCTGTAGCAGAAACCACTCAAAGAATTATTGGTTTGAAATAACAGACAAATTTCTGTCAGAACAAATGTAGTAAARGCTAGTCTGAGCAAAGTCAGTTATAAAGCTGCTTTCTGAAAACTTAATAACAGTTCATGCCATATTTTATGCTTTTAAACATTTATACTGACGTCACTTTTGCATTAGATTTTACTTTATATAAAGCTTGTGGCTATTTACCATGAATACCAAATTATTTAATAACTTTTTACATTTTTTAGCCCTGTTTTTCATTAAAATGTACATAGAATAACACAAGTGTTAAACTGCAGATGACTCTCTCTTTACCACTGACCTCTACGCAAAAATGGTGATGGCACTGTAAGGATTTTTAGCWAACTATTTACATAAACTATGATAAAAAACAGTTATAGGACAGCTTAAATGTGTTTTGTAGCTGACCCAGCTCAGACTAGCCATTAGCTCTTTTYCACTGAAAGAACTTCTTCAAACTCGTGATACTTCGACTGGTTCTTACTGCAGGTATGATACTGCCTACTGATGAAGCTCCACAGAATACCACTTCAACAATTTTTTTATTTTGAAGATTTAAAGAAAGTCAGGCATGACTGGTATCTCAAGTTTTCAGCACTGTCATTGTTACCGACTTTTTACTGAAAGGTGTTMATGCTGTTTTATGACTCCTCCTATTATTTTGAGGATAAATACCCTTAATTAGCCGCAGAGAGTCACTTCACATCTGATATCCCTTAGCGTTTGTGTATGAACAAAAYAAAACGTTAGCGTACACATCAAACCTGTTTGATGAAACGCAAGCAATTGATCTCTCAGCAAATAATTCAAACCAGTACCCCGACCATTGATTGTGAGAACATTTTTGACACGGTGCGCTTCTTGTCCCTGTCCCAACAGTGCTCCAGCACCTGTGCCGGAGGCTTCCAGCGTCGGGTTGTGGTGTGCCAGGATGAGAACGGTTACCCTGCCAACAACTGTGAGGATCGCAGCCGACCCAAAGAGCAGCGATCCTGCGAATCGGGGCCATGTCCTCAGTGGGTCTACGGCAACTGGGGCGAGGTGAGACAAACCTCTCTTCAGAATACTTCAGAGTACAAGAATGATGGTTGAATAGTCATTCAGCAAATGCTTAGGCTCACATTCTGTATGCTTCACAAGAGATGTGTTTTATTTCCACATCTGCCTTGATTTAGATAAACCCCCTTTTTTTCCCTGATATCTGTGTAACAAAACTGACCCCCCCCCCCTCCCCCTTTGCTGTCTTCAGTGCACTAAGCCTTGTGGAGGAGGGATAAAGACGAGGCTGGTGGTGTGTCAGCGTCCAAACGGCGAGCGTTTCAGYGATCTGAGCTGCGAGATCCACGACAAGCCACCAGATCGAGAGCAGTGCAATACTCAACCGTGTCCTTCGAGCCCTCAGTGGAGCACAGACCCATGGAGCTCGGTACGCTCATAAAAAAATACTCTTTCATTTTCAAGCTCCTGCAGGTTGTTAGTCTCGCAGGCAGGTTTTAAAGGGGGCAGAATGACTGTGGTACCTTTTTTTTTTTTTTGCACTGGAGATATTTCACTCCAGCTTCTGTTCCTGCTCCCCCTCTGGTGCCTACAAGTGTGTCCTCAAGACATTTAGTTCACTTTTTTTTTGCACTGGAGATATTTCACTCCAGCTTCTGTTCCTGCTC